ATAAAATCCAACCGGCTGCAGTACAACGAGTTTCATCCCTCCTCATCCGGTGAGATTGACCAGCGAATCTCTTCTTCATGCACTTTCATACGAAACGAAGGTCCCCCTAACTATGTGAACTGTGTCATTCGTCTCGACCAATGACGGTTTACCAATGACGGTGAAATTGTCCACCCTACAAATATCCTAATTGGTTTGTTATGCGCATCCAAATCAGCCCCCTCACTCATGATTTCCCACTTACAATAGACTCCTAATCCGTCATCTTGCCTCGTGCTAAATCTTTCCCCATCGCTCTGTATCGTCAGTTTGCCAACCTTCTATTCCTAAAAGCCCCGAGCCCTCTTGATTTGGGCTTTTTCCAGACATTCTTCCACTAATCGTCTCACTTGTTTGTCCATCTTGCACCGGATTTCCGTCGCAGGCGTCCACAGACTCCTCGACTGCTTGAATCGGTGTTTGTGCCCCCATCTGGGACACAACGAACCGACGGCAGATTGCGGCGAGAATGGCATCCACTTGTCCCCGGTCCGGCAGCCACGTGGACACCTTGTCACCGTTGTCCTCTGAAGTTGGCGCTGCAGCCACCAGCTGCAGTTGCTCCGCCAACACGGGACGCAACAGTCGAGAGAACTGGACCTCAGGAAGCAGGCCAGTCGGAGCGAGACGACGGAACTGCTCGGGATGATGGTACAATGGACAGAAAGAAAAATAACAATCCTTTTCAGCAGGACAGTCTCTGACGCCTGGAGAAGAGCCTACATGGACAGCCTAAATAGTATCCGATATGTGCTGCACAATTCTACATAACGGTCGAAATTATCAATTGCTTCTGCCTACAAAAGTTACTATGACGGACACGACCGCAGCACATTTGACGCCCACACAACTGTATAGGGAATAAGGAATGAAACTGTTTATTCACAGCAATTCTTAATGGAATCATCGTGATTCATTGAAAGATTCTAACAAGGGGCAAGGAAGGATGAGGTAAGCAAGTAAGTGTATGGACACTTCTGAATGGACTAGTCGATTCGAGAGTATGTTTTTGGGGGCCTTGGGAAAAATAACCAACCCAAAATGTTGGTTTGCATAAGCAAATATAATAATAGTCAATTTAAAGTCATGTTGGTAATCAACTGATGCAATAGTGAAACCTAATTTGTTGTCAAATTCTAACTTTATGCGACCAGTCTGGAATGAGACACGACATTTTTGTAAAGAAGACGAATATTAGGCCAACTGATGTCTCATAGTACAACGATGAAGCTGCTTACGATGATTTAAGTAGATTCTTACAAAGAACTTCAATTGGCCAAATTTCTTCAAGGATGGATAGTTACATTCACTAAATCAAGATAAGTAGGCCTCATGGCAAATCTAAATTCCGCTTTGGATAGCCACTAAGAAGGTCTTCTCATCCAGACTGACCCCTAATTTTGACTTCTCAACTAGACAATCGGACTTGAGACTGGTTAGTGCCCGTCAAGTAGCAACAGTGTCATTCCGCCAAACAATATCCGATGCCAATGTGTCACAGGACTGTTGCAACTTAATAGACAAGCTAGAACTTCCCTAATTCACATTTATGGTGAAATTTTCGGTCAGGTAGAGTGTATTTTCCATAAAAACTTGCTCCAAATAAGCCGATTAAGGTGATTTAACGACTTAAGATTGAGTTTTTTCACAATGATATGAGTAATTATGGCGATTTTATGGTACTTTACATAGTCAGATTAGACTGCAGTTTCGACTTTGCAGCTGCCCTGATATCCACTGGAACTCGAGGCCATGCAGTGAAATGGTAAAAGTCGCCACGATACTCTGGATTCGGTATCGAATCTCGCTGTATGTGTTGATGAGATCGAAGGTGTGGTCCCTGTTGTGATGGAATA